CTCTCTCTCTCTCTCTCTCTCTCTCTCTCTTTCTCACTCTCTGCCCCTCTCACCTCTTCCCCTTACCCGGTGGGGACCAGACTGACAGAAGGGAGAAGACACTCCCGTATCTGTCCGCCGACCTGTCATAGTTCGTTTGGTGTGATTATGTCCACCGGACAGTGAGCTGATCGTGAGACATTTTCTTCTCTTAAAATGTTCTTGTTTCACCTCCTTTCCTGCTCTCTAACAATGTTTGTCGTCTGCTTTCGTCTCCACTTTCCGCCCGCACCCCCTCACATCCTTTGCCCCCTCCTCTGGGCTCCTGACTCTTTTTGCAGCCTTTCTACTGCTACTTCTTGGCTTCTTTTTACTGCTGTCTTTCAGCCACACTCCTGACCTTATGGTAGTTAAGATTTAAACCTAGCCTTCTCGGGTAGGGGCGAACAATCTCGGAGGTCCAGTGTGCAAGTTGCTCACGTTAAAGATCCCTTGGGGTCCAAAATCGATTAGAGTTGGCTTCGGCAGCCACCAGAGAAAAATTCAAAATTTCCTACCAGCTGAAAATGTTTAATGTGTCCCGCACTTTCATATGACCTTATTATGTAGTTGCGAGCGCCGTGAAAAAAAAAATTACCAAAAAAAAGAAACAAACAAACAAAAGAAACAAAAGAAAGAATACTTTACCTCTCCAGGCAGGGCAAGCTCCCGAAGCCTCCTCCCACTCGGCTCGCTCCTTTCGGAGAAGGACGTTCAACTTGAAGGTCGCGCATCTTGAATAACCTAACAGTGTTGACTGGAGCGTCAAAATCTATACCATTTCACCATTTCACCATTTCACCGTTTCACCGTTTCACCGTTTCACCATTTCACCATTTCACCATTGCACCGTTGCACCGTTTCACCGTTTCACCATTTCACCATTGCACCACTTCACCATTTCACCATTTCACCGTTTCACCATTGCACCATTGCACCATTGCACCATTTCACCTTTCCAGCCAGGGGAAGCTCCAGAAGCCCCCTCCCATCGACCCCGCAGCGAGAGACTCCGAGTCCAGCAAGAAGCTAGCGGAGGACGCCTTTCTGCGGCGAGTGGGCTCCCGGATCCTACGTCACAGGCGCCCTCCGCCCGCCCCGCAGCCCGGCAAACTGTGCCTGGCGAAGGGCGTGGCCGACCTCACGCACGCCGAGGTCAAGGACGGGCTGGAAGGTCAGGGCAAGGTCAAGCTGTCCCTGCTGCAGTTTGACCCCGTGTACCTCCGCGGTCTGACCCCGGGTGAGATGGTGGCAAGAGACAGCGCAGCTGAAACTCTGTGTGTGTGTGTGTGTGTGTGTGTGTGTGTGTGTGTGTGTGTGTGTGTGTGCTCTCGTTTGTTTATGGTGCTACTGCTAACGTATAAATCAGTAATCAGGTAGCGTATACACGGCACGTAAGCCGACTCGCAACCCTCCGAGCGCGTTGTTTCTGTGAAAAGGGGGTGATTCAGATCTCTGTTTCTTTGCTCTTTTGCTATAAAACACCAAATACTGGACACTTTGAAAAAGTTCAGATTTTCTTCGTTATAATAGTGTAAGTTGTTTGTATATCTGGGTATTTGGAGCTGGAGAATCGCTGTGGAAAGGGAATCCCCTCGCGGTCAGAATGCGAGGTCCCCCTGTTCAAAATTGACACCCATGCATTCGAATGCTTTACAGAAAGATTGCTGATTAAATACCGTCTTTTCATTGGCGGAGAACTATACACCTTTGAGCGTGTTCATTATTTTTGGCCTTTTGCGTTTAGATAGAAAACCTTGAAAAACAAAGTCTAAGTTTTCAAAGACAATTTCTAACACGAATTATGTAAAATACCGGATAAAAAGGGTACTCATAGAAAAAAAATAGTTCTTTTCCTTTTAGAATAAAGTCATCGGAATTATTTTGCATGAATCCGTCCGCGAAACTACCGGGAGCACTCAGTATAATGCAGTATTGAGCCGGTTCGCTCGCCGCGAAGGCTGGTGCGACACGGCGGAGACAATACTCGGTGTTTTTATTGAAATAACGACAGATCATCGTGTTTGAGGCAAATAAAATACTTATTTGTAATTATCTCACAGTCTTAAAAAAATATTAGGCTTCATTTCTATGTTACAGTGATTGTACTCTTTTAATGTAGAGATGTTTGGTGTACTTGGTACTCTTTTACTATCTGCCAAACATGGGGTTGCAGCCAGTTGACGACTTCAGCAATCTTTTATTATTATATTAAATTGAAACAGCTGCCATTCTCTTAAACATTGACGGAGAGGTAAAAGTATGGTACCAAATTTCTCAGGAGACATAGGCATTTCATATGAAACAGATGCATTTGACTTACAGCTACTTTGAAAATTTAGTATCTGGTACCTATAGTACAATGCTAATACTTTGTTGCATTTGACGTTTAGTCCATTCTCGTAAAAAATTTGTTTGGTCCATAACCCTTTTCCTCTGTAAATGAATAGTTTTCTACTTTTGTATGTTACCTTGTCGTGGCCTAGCCAAGAAAACTGCTAAACTTCAAATCTTTATCTCAATTCTAAGACCCCCCCATTGCTCTACTTCTGAAGCCATTTTTTCCTTTTCGTGTTTCCTCACCTCGCACAATTAAAAGTTCTGTATGTTCGTCAAATATTGTCATGTTTCCTTCATTCTTGTTTTAATTTGTAGGGAAAAGGTGATAGTTTTTAAAAATAACTCAGTTTTGAAATTCCCTTCGTATGACTGATATTGACCGGTAGGGGTACATTTATATATATATTACATCGATCAATCAATCCATTTTATGTGGGGTGAGGGGAGTTCATAAGAGAAGACAAAAACACTTACGTTTGTTCCCATCCACAGTATCAGCCTGGTACACCTTAGGATTCTGGCACAAGTCCGCTCGTGTTTCTGGATAACTATTTCGTCCGTGTCTAACAAAGGGTCATCTTCTGTACGCCAAAGAGGAAGATTTGGGGAAGGGATAGGGGGTCGGGGGATTG